GTTGGCCCAGGATCGAACATTGTTTCGTTCTGCTGTGCATAGGGTCGCTATGAGTCGGTTCCGACTCGATGGCACCTGACAACAACAACAACAAATAAATCTTCTTCAAATCCTGATGCTGTGGTTTTCTTTATATTATCCAGCTTCTCAAGTTACATGCTCAGCATACAGACTGAATAAATATAGTGAAAGAATACAACCCTGGTACACACCTTTCCTAATTTTAAACCATTCGGTGTTCCCTTGTTTTGTTCAAACATCTGCCTCTTGGTCTACGTACATGTTCCTCAAGAGCACAAAAATAAGTGTTCCAGAACTTCATTCTCCTCGATGTTGTCCATAACCTGTTATGATCCCCACATTCGAAAGACACTGAGTAGTCAATAAAATGCAAGTAAACATATTTCTGGGATTTTCCGCTTTGGGCCTAAATCCATCTGCTTTCAGGAATGATATCCCTCATTCCACAAGCTCTTCTGAATCTGGCTTGAGCATCTGGACGTTCTCTGTCAATGTATGGTTGCAGACATCTTTGTATTATCTTCAGCAAAATTTGCATACAACATTAGTGGTATTGTCCAAGGATTTCCGCATTCCGTTTGGAATGGGTACAAATATGGATCTCTCACAGTCAGTTGGCCAGGTAGTTGTCTTTCCAAATTTCTTGGCATAGATGAGTAAGTGCCTCCAGTGCTGCTTCAGTTTGTTGAAAGATTTAAATTTGTATTCCATCTATTCCTGGTGCCTTGTTCTTTCTCAATGCCTCCAGTGCACCTTGGTCTTCTTCGTTAATGATGGTTGGCTCTTGATCATATGCTACCTCATGAAATGGTTGAAAGGTGGCCATTTTTTTTTGAACAGTGACTCAAAATGAAGAAAAACAGTTGCAAATATCAATTATAATTGGAACATGGAATCTACGAAGTAGGAATCTAGGAAAATTGGAAATTGTCAAAAATGAAATGGAATGCATAAACATCGATACCCTAGAAATTACTCTGCACAGGGTTGCTATGAGTTGGAACCGACTCCTCGGCACATAACCACTACCACCACCAGTGAGCTGAAGTGGACTGGTATAGGCCATTTGAATCTGGCAATCACATGGTTTTACTATGCTGGCAATGACAAACTGAAGAGGAATGGAGTCACATTCATCAACAAGAAGAACTTATCAAGATCTGTTTTGAAGTACAACACTGTCTATAATAGGAAAACATCCATACGCCTACAGAGAAGACCAGTTAATGGGTCCAGAGACTCTAATAATATCAACAATTATTTACTGAAAGCTTACAATATGTCAGGCACTGAACTCAAGAGTTCATTTGTTGTTGTTGTTGTCAAGTGCCATCGAGTCGGTTCCGACCCATAGCGACCCTGTACAGGGTTTCCGAGGGTGTAAATCTTTACGGGAGTAGAAAGCCTGGCATATGCTAAAACATTCTATCTAATGACTCCCCAAACCACATTCTCAAACTTATGAATGAGAACGCCCAAGGGGACACATCAGGTGCCAGAAAACATGGCATCTCTCCCAAGGTTATCAGTTTCCAAATAAATAAATAAATATAAAAACAGAAAAGATACAAAATATTCACAAATATATTACTCAAAATTTAGAAATTAGACTGTAAGTGTACATTCATTCTCATAATATGGGTTGTGTT